TTCTTCCAGTCTTTCCTGTATCAGGGTTACATTTCCTTTCTTATACTTTATCTTGTATATCTTTGCCATCTTTCTTTTCTCAGATTCTTTCTAGATTTATCTACTTTATTAATCTTTTCAAGGATCAGAGTTTTGGATTTATTTGTCCTTTCTACCATTTAAAATTTTCTAATTAATTTCAGTTTTGATCTTTGTTTATTTCCTGTTTCTGGTTTCTTTCATTGCTTTATCTAATTTCTAAAAATGGATAGGTAATTAATTGCTCTATCTTTTTTTTGTAATGAAAACATTTAGCTTATTTATTTTTTTCTTAGTATGGCTTTTGCTGTGTCCTCTAGATTTTGAAGTTACATCTGTTAGGGCACATTTGACTACAAATAAAATATCTGATTAATAGTGACTTGAATAATGCAGACATTTTACTATTTTATGTAACAAGGAGATTATAGGTAGATATTTCTAGAGTAGATACTGTTTCAGTGGCTTAACAATATCATCAAAAACTCGAGCTTTTTCCAGCTTTTTGCTTCATCTTCATCAACATGTTGACTTTTTGTCCACATGCTCATCTTACAACTGCGGAATAACTGTCACAATTCCAGACATCCCATGTTCTGTCCCACTCACCAGCAGGAAAAACAAAGGAGGGATAGTGTAATTAAAACTTACTTGCCTGAAATATCTTTCTTTTTTAAAAAAAAGAAAGCTCTCAGGCAGACATTTTCTTATGCTTAACTGATCATAACTGGGTCCCATGGCCACTCCTAACTTCAAGAGAGGCTAAAAAAGTGTCTGGCAAAGGGGACAGAATTACATGACAGACGTAGGCCAATCATGGTTATCCCCTGGGCTATAAACATTGCCACTCTAACCAAGCTCAGAGTATCTAACCATTTCCCCTTTATTTGGCTGCTATGTTGTTTGGTACATACAAGTTTATGATTGTTATATTTTATTCTTTAATTGTCCCTTTATGTCATTATATCATTATAGTAAATCCCTCTTTCATTTGCTTCATACCTGAAACTCTACCTTTCGTAATATTGCCATTCTTGCTTTCTTTTTAAATTTTAATTTGTCTGGTATTTCTTTGTTTATCCCTTTTATTTTCAATCTCTATTTTTAAAAGTGTTTCTTGTAAGAATTTATGGAAGAATCGTGCTGTTCGCATTTAGTGGGATACACGCGATTTTACTCTTTTCACCTTATCCTGTGTTTGTTATTTATTATCACTTGTTTCTGGCCCCCTTTCCTTTTCTCCATTCTGGTGGGAATGTTGACAGTGGTGGCAGCCACGGCAGGCTTTCTGCGTCAGCACCCAGTTTCCAGGCGCGGCTCAAAGCGTACTGCCACCAGCATTGCTGTCACCAGACCAGCTTTGCAGCAGTCTAGGGGCTCCTTCCTGGTTCTGAAACCTCCAAATCTCATCCTCTGTCTTTCCTAGAGATTCGCTGGGCCACTCACATCTTTTTAATAAATACTTTTTGTTTGTGTTTTAACTAGCCAGAGTTGGTGCTTGCTTCTTCAACTAAGAACAATGAATAGCTCCTTCCAAGTGTTGTTTTTCCCCCCTATCAATTCTATGGGACAACTACACTCAATAGAGTTGTACCTTTTTTATTAGACCCATATTAGATACTGAGAAGGAACAGAGAATACTTGGACCACTGAAATGATCCAACTATTCTAGACTATACAGGAAATTCTCAAATAAATTTTTTTCTTGGTGCTGTAGAATAAAAGTCCTTTATATTTATTTTTATGAGGGAAAGACCTGATTCTCCCTTGAGAAAATAAGCCACCTTTTACAGACTTAAAAATCTTTATTTTGGAGCTGACCAGGTGGCTCAGTTTGTTAAAGCATGAACTCTGAGCAACAGGGTTACCAGTTCGATTCCCACATGGGCCAGTGAACTGCGCCTGAGCTGAGCTGCCACTGAGCTGCCGACTGGCAGCCAGATGGCTCAGCTGGTGAGAGCGCATGCTCTTTTAAAAAGGTTGCCATTTCGACTCCCAAACAGCAACTTGACTTGGAGCTGAGCTGCGCCCTCCACAACTAAGATTGAAGGACAACTTGACTTGGAGCTGATGGGTCCTGGAAAAAACACATTGTTCCCCAATAAAGTTTGAAAAGAAAAAAATATATTTTAAAAATCATCTATAGTTTTTCAACTGTAAAACTATGCACCTACTTATAGGAGAAGAGAAAACAAACAAAAAAAGGAGGAAAGAAAGGTCTTTGGACTTGGGTGAGGGTCAGGTATGCCAGTGGAGCTCACTACTTGCCCCGAAGAGTCAGCAGTTTATGAATCATGAAGATGCTTCAGGAACAGTCATCTTGAGTTACTTCTTAGTGATGAGCGTGATGGGCACCCAAGGTCACATTTCTGACTGCATCCACTAAACTATTCAGATACTGAATCCCTCCTGAGCTCTGTTCTGAGAACTGATATGTTGTGTTGATCTGTTGAGAGAGAAATTAGGAAGCATTGATTGGCTGGAAGCTGTGCACGGAGGAAGGGCAGGAGAGGGGACACTGAAAACGCGGGGACAAGAAATGAACCAGGTCAAGTGAGGCTGTTAGTGAAATAGAAAGCTGACCAGTCTAAGGAAAGGGAGAGAAGGAAGGAACTGAAAGCCATGGTGGGAGAGGGGAGTAAAAAAAGGGGATTGTAGGAAAAGAGAAAGGCGTGGGGGCAGTGGGAGAGGGCAGAGCAGGAGCGACATGGAGAAGGGGGAGATGACGCTGGGAAGGTGGTGTGGGAGGCCAGGGGCCTGCAGGGGGACAGCTCCTCACCCTCAGAATCTTCTGGAGCCTTCGCTTTGCTGCGTCACTGTATTGCTTCAGCTTCTCCCAGAGCTCGAACTGCATTCCCTGGTTGTCCACAAAGTTTTCCCAGCAGTCAGTAAACTCTGAGATGAAAGAGGGGTCCCAGTCAGGCCGAGGGGCAGGGGAGAAGCAAGTCTCACCTGCAGGGTCAGGGTCTCCTCCTTACTTTCCCCTCCCTTCTCTTTCTCTCCCTGGAAATGTCCTTTGCAGGTGTTATCACATCTTGGGCCTCAGCTGTGCCATCATCCTTCCTGTCCAGCCACCCCCCATCCCCCAGGGGCTTCTCCCTCTCGGAACTGCAAACCTTCCCATCAGCTGACAGCTGTGTCTCTTCCTACCTGGTTCTGTCATGGCCAACACTGGGATGTTGGATTTCCAAAGAAGTTGCAGCCCACACTGATGTGGCCAGCACCAGTGGAAGTACAGGCGGGAGGCGAAGACCTGCAGGCTCAGGTGGGGGTAATCATCAATGAAAGCCACCAGTTTCTCAGCACAGCGGGGACAGGGGCTCCATGTGATATAGCAGGTGATTTTGTACCTCTGGGTTCGGTCCAGGTCCAGTGAGCTGATCTTCTCAATAAAGCAAATTTCTGCATGGCTCCTTTTCTGGGAAGATTCCCAGACGGAGACAAAGAAGGGTTGGTTAAAAGGCAGAGTCCAGAGGTTTGTGACCTCTGCCCTGTAAACTTTTGAATATGTAAACTTGCCTAAGACGAGAAAGAACCTCCTTCCTTCCTTCATTAACTCACTCATCCATTAAGATTCCATTAAGATCCATCAAGATTCCCAAAGCACCCACAGCTTGATCCGAATCGGACCAGGGTCCCAGTGACCAGAGTAGGTGATGGCTTGGCAGAGACACCCCACAGAGCAGTCCTGAAGGCTCTGAGGACCTGTTTTGACACTTGCCCAGGAGGTTGTCTGGGGATGCTTGAACCTGGGGGTCCCAAGGAGCAGGTCAGAGCAGGGGGGAGGTGGGGTGGCCAGTTTGGGAACCAGGTGGACTATCAGGCATGTTGTGGAGATCTTGTAGATGGAGTTAAGTGCCCAGTCCTCAGGAGAGCCTTTGGCTTTCCCGAAGCTGAGATTCGGAGGACCGGTAAACGTTAATTTCTCAAAGAGGGGCAGGAGGAGCATCTGCTCGAGGGAAGGGCCTCTGCTGAGGCCCAGGATGGAAAGAAGGTGGAGCATTCCAGGGAAGCCTGGCGAACCCAGGCCCAGCCAAGGCTCATGTTTTCCCTGCACGCTGGATGCGGTTAACCCCTCCTGCCCTGCGCCCAGGGAGCCTGGCACCTGGTTCTTAAAGCAGCCTTGGTCAAGTGTCTCATCGAGCAGCTTCAGCTTGTAGCACAAGTAGGTCTCCCTCCGGCCTCTGGGCTCTTTGACCCGTGGCTGGTTGCCAAACTGGTAGTAGAATGTTTCTGCTGGTAGCAGACTCATTGTGTTTCTGTGCAACAGAAAGGAGAAAACGGAAGATGCAGAGAGCGTCCCCTGGCGTCACCCCAAGCTCTGTCACCTCCTTGGGTTCGCTTGGGACCTGGGGGTGGTAAGGGAGTCTCCTCTTTCTTTGTTGGCCGGAAGGACTGGGGAGGGAGAAGGAAGAGGGGCGATCTCCCGCCTTGCCCGCTGCATCCCACCTCGAGACTGGCTGAGGCCCCCTCCCCTTTTGGAGGCCGTGGCAGGCAGGACAACGGGCCTGAGTGGGGGGCCACGCCCTGGAAACTAGACACCGCATGTCCTTCCTGGGCTCATAGTCCTTTGTCCCGAGCCCCAGACTCCTCTGTTCAGACCCACAGGCACCTCCACACGTCCAATTCCAGAACCTTCTCTTTAGGGAGTGGAGGGATGGAAGCTGGTGCTTCCTCCAACTCTGTGCTCTTTGCTTAGGCGTGTGTATCACTATTTAGTCTATACAAAGAGCACAGGGGCAGGTGAACAGGAAAAACTGTTGTCACCAAGGGAGTGTTGTGACAGACTTTTGGCTGAAGGACTCACATAGTTTTTTTCTCCCCCCTAGTTGTGACTATACTCTACAAAGTACTCCATTTTGTATCTTGCTGTGTTTCATTGAGAATTATTGGGTTGTTGGGAAAGTCATGACATTTTTTCTATGTTTTTCATTGCAAAAACGCGTCATGACTTTTCCGACGACCCAATACATTGCGAAGGGACCTGGCCAGTGAGGGCATGCAGAACCACTGGATCCTTTTTGAGAAATTTGTGGACTCTGCCTAGATGGACTAGGGGCACAGAAATTGGGAACCTCCTGCCACACCTCAAAGGCGTGCTTGACGCTCACTCTGGTCGGACACACTGCACACGGACATTCGTGACCAAGTGGACACCAAACAGAGTGAACAAACTTGGGAGGCTTGATGGAACCCCAGCTTGCTGTCCTTCTGGACACTCTACCCAAAGCTAATGTGACCTGGCTGATCATCGAGTCAGGCTCTGGGGACCATAGATCTCAGAAACTTGCTTCTGGATGCAGAAGTCAAGCCCAGGGTGCTTGACAACCCGGGCTGCATATCCTGTTCCTGAAAAGCTGGAAATGCCTCCCCCCTATTTCCAGCCAACTCACTGAAACACCCCTAATTCCACCTACGAGAAACCATTTCTGACGTAGGTTATGCTAATTCAGAAAGCCACCCATGTCATAAGTGGAAATCCACCTCTGAGATCCCCGTGCTAATCAGTGAATCTTCAGATGGAATTGGATGACAATTGCTGAAGAGACCGTCTGGGACTGGTGGCTTTCGATGAAGAACCAGTGACCAAGGCAGAAGTTCTACTCCCAGATAGGGCCACTGGCTGCCCTCGGGGTAAGGATTAGAAGAAAGACACCCATTCATAGCACACTTAGGAAACAATCTTCCTGACTTTAGCACTGAAGTTCCCCCGTTCTGGGAAAACTCCCCAGTGCTGGGCAAACCCACACTTTCAAGGCTAAAGTATTTCAAGTTTTAGACAAGTGCACTATCTTAATAGCACAATTGTTGACCCCTTAGCCTTGAATAGCTAAAATTGTAGGCATGATAGAAAAAGCTTGGAGGGAATACTTAAGGACCATCTTAATTTTTCACACTTGGTAGTGTCTTCAAGAGATACAATTTATCTTCTTGTCTTGAAGAGGAGTTTTCCTTCCACATGGAAAAATTAGAACATTCTTTGCAAAATTGTGCATGTTTTTAAAATAAAACTTATCAAGATGCTTTTATAGCTGCCTCCAACAATTGTTTCAATGTCCTTGGCCCTAAAGTGAACTGGTGAGCTTGAACAAAGGGCTTTAAGAAGACCCAGTGGCATGCCTGTGGGATATAGCCAGTGGCATAGAGAGACAGGCAGCAGGAAGCAGCGGTGGGGGGTCTACAGAGGCAGGGCTGGGGCCTGAAGCAGGAGTAGACCCTGCAGAGATGGCACCACAGAGGGCGAGAACCCGGGGCTGGGAGTGGGGAGGAGGCAGTGGTACCTGGTCCCTGCAGCACAGCCCCAGCCTCCGTGGCAGGCTTGTCCCAGCCTGCCCTGGTCCCCGGGCGCTCAGGCTCTACTTCCCTTGCACAAGGCCACCTGACACAAGGCTGCCTTTGGCCTTGGGAAAGCCCGTTATCTGTCCTCCTCCAGCTGTCTAGTGGTGGACCCAGCCCCTCCTGCTGTGGTAACTCAGGGTGGGGGGCCCTAGGGAGATTTTGCTTCTCTGGACTCTGACCCACCTTCTTTTCTCCTCCTGTGCCTTGACTTACCTGATCCCAGGTATCTAGCTGCAGTCTCCTCAGCAGGACTGTCCCAGCCCTGCCCTTTGTCATGGGCATTTTGTTTTCATTTTCTTTCACAAGGCCCCTCCCCACCCTTACAAAGTCCCTTGTCAAAGCACCTCCCAGCCTTCTCAGCTGAGGCCCCGCCTCCTTCCTGCTTTGGCAGTAGGGGTGGGAAGGCCCTGGTAAGTGCCTCCTCAGGCTCACACCCACCTTCTCTCCTTCCCTGGGGCCCTCCCTCTGGGCAGAGCTGGACCTCTGGTGGAGGAGACAGGCCCCTCTGTGCAGCAGGACCCACGGTGACTGCAAAG